CTGATACAGTTCCTTGATTATGGCCAGGGAAAGCAGTGGAGGATGGCCCGAGTGCTAGGGTCCTCGTACCCATAGCGGGAGACCTAACGAGGCTCCTGGCTTGGGCTTGGCTCAGCACATGCCTTTGCGGCCATTCAGGGAATGAACCTGCGAATCAAAGATCTCTCCTCTCTGTAACTCTGCCTTTCTTTGGTTGTTCTTGGCTTTTTTCCCTCTTTTTTATTTTTTAATAATGATTACATGGTTGATCAGGTTATGAAAGATTGAGGTTTAGGGAAAATTGGGTGAACTCATTGCCTCCAAATTTGCTATTTCTTTTTGTTGTTCCAGTGCCCGGGATGAGGAACCGCCACCTTGTAGCAACCCAGAGTCTCACTGTGTACGTATTCTGAGGGTCTGCCCACGTGGTTTGGGCAGTTCTGAAATGCTGCGGATTTCACCGCTCCGAGGATGGTGTCACCCTCCCAGTGTCCACTGGCTCCAGCCACCGAGCTTTTTTGCTGTCATCATTTGCTTGGGGGAGTTGTCCAGTTAGTTCTGTTCTGCTACAGCACCAAATGAGCTGCCATATTCTCCTTTTACAACAGGGCCTGTGTCCACTGCTCCACCTTTTTCATTAAGTAGCACATGTTCTTGCAGGCGAGTCCAAGCACCTGTGCTAGGCTTCCCAAGCCCTGCTGGATCCCCACCTGCTGGGGTTCATGAACCCAACACCCACCTACTAGGTGGGCTCCGGGACCCACTGTAACTCTGCCTTTCAAATCAATAAATCTTTTCATGTTTTTTTTAAAGATATATTTTTATTGGAAAGGCAGATTTACAGAGAGAAGAAGAGAAAGACAGAGAGATCTTCTATCCACTGGTTCACTCCCCAAATGGTTGCAATAGCTGGAGCTGAGCTGATCCAAAGCTCGGAGCCAGGAGCCTCTTCAGGATGTCCCACGTGGGTGCAGGGTCCCAAGGCTTTGGACCATCCTCTGTGGTTTCCCAGACCACAGCAGGGAGCTGGATGGCAATCAGAGCAGCTGGGGCATGAACCAGTGCCCATACGGGATTCTGGTGCTTAGAGACAGAGGATTAGCCAACTGAGCCATTGCATTAACCTGGATAAATATATATATATATATATATATTTAAAAAAAAGATAAAGTTCCTTCTCTCTAACTTTTTCAAATAAATAAATTATTAAAAAAATAAATAACTGATAATTCTTTAACTGCTGTGGGCAGCAGGAGGCACCCCTGACCCCAGGGATCCCAGGGCCTGTGCTTCCCACCCTCCCCACAGCTCTACTTAGGGTCTTGGGGCTGGTCAGCACGGCTCCCCCGGGGCAGCTGTCTTGTAGCAGGCTCTGCCAGCAGCCCACACAGGGCACTCTGAGCCATGGCATGGCTGCCTGGAGCAGTGAGCAGTGCATATGCATCTTGTGGAAGGGCCCACGGCCAGCGGGGAGCCGCGGGTCTGACTGCATGGGCTGAGCCGGTCTTCCTGATTCTTTAGGTTCTGATTGAAACTCCTACTCTAGGACCTCGGAATGTGACCATGTTGGATATAGCACTTTTCTTTAATTAGTTAATTTGAAAGGCAGGGAGAAAGAGAAGAGAGAGAACCTTCCACCTGCTGGTTCATTCCTTAAATGCCTACTTCAGCCAGGGCTGGCCTAGGCTGAAACCAGAAACAGGAACCCCATCTGAGTCTCTTACGTGGGTGGCAAGGACCCAAGTACTCGAATAGGGTGTGCACTGGCAGGAAGCAGGATGGGGAGTGAGGAACTGGGACTCGAACCAGGAACCCTGACAGGGGGTGTGGGTGTCCCAAGTGGCTACTTAACAGGTGTACCACACGATCACCCCAGAGGTGTCTTGAGGGGGGTCCTCATCCAGTCTGACCAGACATGCCCAGAGGAGGGGCATCGGAGGCAGGGGAAGGAATCCCACGCGCTGGTCTTGGACTTGTAACCTCCTGAACTTGTGTTGGTGAATCCTGGGGTCCGTGGCGCTGTGCTCCACCAGCCCTGCAGGTTCACAGACATACCAGGGCGCCGCCGGTTCACAGACGTACCAGGGCCCTCTGCTGCAGGAGCCGAGCTGGACGGACAGTCTGCAGCTGTGGCTCCCTGTCCATGGTGGTGGTGGCGGAGAGGCCTGGAGCGGGGTGCAGGAGCTGGAGCTGGGCGAGAAGTAGGTGTCCTTGCAGGGGCTCTGGGGGCCTCCAGAGATGGGGTGGGGAGGAGGCCACTGGGCAGGGGTCGCCATGGAGAGCAAGAAGTGACCTTGCGAAGGATGGCAGAACCCTGTTTCTCTTGGAGGAGGCAGCACAACTGTAGAGTTGGGGAACGCAAGAGGAAGGAGGCGTGGCTCTGTGACCCAAACCATCAGGGGAAATTCCTTCTTTTTCTTGCCAGACAGCAACATGTGCAGGGCCATGAGAGCGAGCAGCATCCCCGGGATGCCGTGAGGACAGAGCGGGCAGGCTTCCTCAAGCCCCTGTTGCTGGGTCTCCAGCTCATCCCCCGGAACCCTCACCAGGCCCTTGAGAACACAGGTTTAAGATCTGAAGTTCCCCCTACCCCTTGCCACCTGCTAAAGGTGTCTGTGTGTGTGGGGGGCACGCATGCGTGTTGGGTGGACAGAGCGCAGTGGGAAAGGCACAGTGCCTGGGACAGGGAGGTGCTGACTTGGAGCTGGCAGCCCCCTGGCCCTGGCTGGGACCCCACCCTGCAGCGTCCCCTACCCTATGGGCACTGGGACACATGACGCTGCTGCCACCTTGTGGTCACTGTGGGACTCAGCTCCTGCGCTGGGGCCAAAGCCTCTGCTGCTAGGAGTGCAGGAGAGGCCTCCAGAGAGGGAGCCACTCACAAGGCCGGGAGACAGGAAGCCCTCCAGCTCTCCCCTGGACACTGTGCTCCTGGCTGAGAGTGGGGGCAGATGCCATCATGGAATAGAGGGGGAGACATTCACAATTTCAGTGACATGGGTGGCATTTTTCGTCTGGCAGCTGCCAGGCCATTGGGTGGCTTGCTAACCCACCCTGGGGAGAAATGCTGTTAGGTGTCCATTTATCAAGTGAGGACATGGAGGCACAGAGAGGTTAAGTGATTTGTCCAAGGCCACACAGCCCAGAAGTGGCCACGTTAGGATTTGCTGTTTTATGACAGTGGCTGGACAGGGTGCTGGGTGCTGATCCCAGGGCAGTGTCCAGCGTCAGGGAAGCCGGAAGGTCCCACGGAGCTCTGGGCAGCACATCCCCACTGGCCGAGGGGCTGTTTACTCCCCCACACACCCTGGCCCCTATGTTGCCTTCCCCTGGGGCTGGACCCAGCTACAGCCACCCAACCACTGGTGCCTCCTGTATCCTGGGCTGCAGCTGCCATGGCAGCCTGGGGCTAGCTACTGCCCGAGACGCCCCCGCCAGGCAGCTGGTCTTCATTTCCCTGCGGCCTGACTTCCTGCCTCTGTGAAGTGATCTGCTGGGGCCTGTGGCCTCACACGGGCCGTTGCTAGGAAACATGGCCTGGTAGCCCTAAAGGTTCCCTGCCAGCACCTCCCTCACCCTTCAGAAGCCCAGCGCTGCCCCAGCCAGGGGAGGCCCAGAGGCCTGCGGGCACTGGGGCCCTTCCTATCCAGCACCCAGGCCCACAGAGGGTCCTCTTTCCAGCTTCTACTTGCACCCACCCAGGGAGCCTTCCCGTCCTTCATTTCAAAGGGGAAACGGTCCCCAAGTTGACCTGGTATTTGTGCCTCTTCCTCCCCGTATGTCCCCCAGGGCATCCCCCCCCCACAGTGGAGTGTAGCTAGGGCCTGGGTGAACACTGCATACAGGAAGCTCTGAACTCGGTCATCTTAACTTTCTGAGCTGCCTTGAGCCTCCATGCCATCCATGGAAAATTCCTTGGGCTTCTAGGCTGACAGTAGGGGGGAGGCCTCAGCTCTGGGCCTTGTCACAGTGTGATTCCCCTTTCCCTGCCAGGGACACCCTATGATCTGGGGCCAGCGGGACAGGGGAGGGGCAGCAGAGACCCCTGGTCCCATGAATTAGTGTGAAACTAGACAAGCCACTGGTTCCCTGAGCCTGTGTCCCCACCTGGGAGTGGTGATGACAGCTGGTGACTCCAGAGGGCTGTTGTGAGGGGTGGGAAGGCCAGGGAGGAGCCTGGGACACGGGAGACACACAGGCCCTGAATGGGGGTGGGGGTTTGGGGGATGGGGACCCTGGCCCTTCAGCCAGTTCTTGAGCATGGTCGAGACCATGAACTCTCCTGCTTGTCTCCTTTTTGGGGTCCTATGGGGCCTGCCCCCTTGGGTTGCCCAGCTCCGTACACAACCATTGCAATGGTGCCAGGGCTGCTCATAGACCCTGGCCACCCTCTCAGGCCCCCAGGCCCTGTGCACTGGGTATCCCGACCTCTCCTTGCCACACACTGAGGGTGGGCCCGGGAGGCTATCCTTGGCTGTGAGCAGTGACTTCTGGGGAGCTTGGTATGCAGACGTCTCGACACCCGGGGCTCTGCAGCTGCCAGGGAGCAAGGCCAGGGCTGATACCTGCATGTGCCACCTGCGTGTGGCACAGTGCCTTGAGCTGTGCCTGGTCGTCCAAACCAAGTTTCTGCATCGTTGTTAGAAATTGGGATGATGCACCTGTCACTGTTCTTTCGAGCCGGCCCAGCTTATGGGACCACTGAGGCATAGTCTCGGTTGCAGTAAGAAGGGGAGGGTGCTCTGTCTCCCTGCCCCCGCCCCCGGGGCTGTTGTAGGATGATGCCTGGAACCTGAGCACCAGTGGGGCTGGGCGGGCACTTCCCTTCCTTGTGGGCCACGTGCCAGTGCTGCAGGCCAGGGGTAGGCAGAGGTGGGTGGGGGTTGCACCTACCCAGGTGTTGCTGACGCTCAGGCTCACCACCCCGAGTGTCCGTGCTGTGTGCAGGTCAGGCGGCTCTGGCCCAGCCCGCAGCATCCGCTTGCCACTGCCCCCCAGGAAACTGAAGGAGGCTGCTGGCAGCTGGTTGTCTACCTTTAATTGGGGATATAAAAGATACCTCTCCCAACACAGGGCGCAACCAAGAGGAGGTTGGGTGCCCGGGGGGGAAGCCCGGCTGGAGGACAGAGGAAGGCAGGGGAGAAGGCAGTGGGTGGGCTGAAGAGGCGTTGCCTTGCAGCCTGGGCTGGCTGGGTCTAGTTTCACCAAGAGCTTCGTACCTGGACAGAGGGCACAGCAGCAGGTGACCGCCACGCCTGCTCCCCCACAGCTTGCAGAAGCTTTGGGGAGCCCCTCGGACAAGGGGTTAGTGACTAGAGGCCAGGGTGGAGGCTCCACTCTGGCCTTGACCGGCAGTGTGGGCTCCCAAGGGCTCCGTGGGGCCTGGCCCAGGGCAGAGTCCCTCGGCTGCAGCTACACAGCTGGCCTGTCTGTCCTGGGGTCCCCCTGTTCTCAGTGAGGGCGTCACACACGCTGGGGGAGGGACAGGAGGCAGAAGCAGCCAGCATCTCACAGCTGAGCTGGCTAACCTGTGCCCCTGGCACCAGGCAGCATGGCCCATCTTCAGGGACCCCGAACAGCCAGACACCAAAAGAGGCAGAGAGGCCTGCCGTGGCCGGGTGCAGGGTGCCAGACCCCACGCTCACAGGGCAAACAGCATGTCATCGTCCTTGTCCTGTTTCTTCTTCCGGGGGGCTGCGCCAGCACGGGGACCCTGAGGCCCTTCGTCTGCAGGGCTGGGGAGGGTGGGCAACCGATCAGCCGCTTTGGCCCGTTCTTCCAGGAACTTGTCAAACTCTGGAGGCAGAGCAGAGGGGGGGAGGGGTGGGCTTGGAGGCCAGTCTACCCCTTCCAACACAGGGCACAACCAAGAGGAGGTTGGGCTGGGGGCACGGAAGGGCGGTTGGGGCAGGGCTGGGGGCTCTACCTTCACTGGTGACGCCCTGGGGCTCCTCGGCATCGTTGCCCTGGGAAAGCAGGAGGAGGCAGAAGTTAGTGGGGCGGAAGTGATGGCTCGGGCAGCCCTGAGGCGGACAGTTGGTGTCCAGCCCTGGCTGAGGCCCCGGCCGGCCCTGCACCTGGCCCTCGCCTCCTGAGCTACAGGGGCCTTGGCCTTCTCTGCGGCAACACTGGGGAGTCAGACGGGGGCAGCAGTCCACAGTGCTGGCTTGAGTTGTGGCTGTTGCTGATGTGGCTTCAGCTCATGAGCACCCTGGGAGGTAGCAGGTGATGGCCTGAGCCTGGGGTCTCTGCCATCCCCCGGGAGGCCCCGATGGAGTTTGCGGTTCCTGGTTTTGGATTGGTCTGGCCCAGGCTATCAAGGACCTTTGGGGACTAACAGCTGCCTCTCTCAACTAAAATGAAAATCAATCAAGATTTTGAATGGGCCAATACACACAGAAGACTAAGCACAGGAAGAAGTGCCCAGTGGATGGAAGGGGAATGCCAGGTTCCTTCCTTTTGGCATTGAGAAGTGGCAGAACCACCTGCTGGGAAGAGCTGAGTCCTTGCTTGGTGCTTGGTGCCCAAAGGGAGTGCTGGGTGCTCAGGAGAAGCCTGCATGGAGTTGCTGGGCCTGCCTCTTCTGCTCCCTGGAGTTGAGGACGGCCGGCACCCCAGGATCCCATCACCTGGCACCACCTCCCTCACCTGGCCACCTCCCTTCAAGGAAGGGTGACCACTGCCCCAGACACAGGCTGATGTACTGCTGTGAGCAGCCTTCTGACCAGAGGCCTCCGTGCATCACAGTGGCTGCTGCTGGCTGGCCTCTCCGGCCTGCTGTGTTTTTCCCAGGCTGGGGGACTTTCTGGTGGGTGTGTGCACTGGCCCTGAGGTCATTCACTCCCTCGTGTGGGCCGGGGCAGCCCCACTCACCACGTCGGTGGACAGCCACTGCTCGATGTCCTCCATGAGGCAGGCCTGGGTGACGGGGATCTGCAAGGAGCGGGTGGGGGAAGTTGGAGGACAGGGCTGTGGGTGGCAGAGCTAAGGCTCCGCCTCCTGGTGCCTACCTGCTGGGTGGCCGTGGGCAGATGCCAGCTCTACCCTAAGCTGCCTCATTTAGGACTGCCCTGCCCAGCTGCTGGACGGTAGGTCAGGGGGTGCAGGACAGGGGCCTAGGGCTGCACCCTTCTACAAGGAGCATGGAGGTGGGGTCCCAGGCTGGAGGCGGGGCTTCCTGACCAAAGCCCAGGACAGGTGCCATTCTGGCCACAGGTGCTCGGGCATAATGGCTCCAAGGGCCAAGATGCCTTTACCAGCCAGCAGGGCTGCGGTAGGGCCCAGTCAGGGCCAGGGCCACAGGCTTCCATCTCTTGGCACCTGTGCAGAGTCAAGTTCACAGCAGAAGGGCATGCAGAAGGGCCCCAAAGCAGAGAGGAGGCGAGGCCTGACTAGGCTCGTGCAGTCATGGGGGCGGTGCTGCAAACTGGGGACATTTCACTGTGGGCTCTGTCAGGGGGCGCCCCTCTGGGGCTGCGGCCTCCTGCTTTGGCAGTGAGTGGGAAATTCAGGGTGGAGGGTACAGGCTTGGGATGGGAACTGTTTTGGCTCTGGCTCGGCCCCTTGGCCCAGCGTGGCTCCCGACATTCACTTCTCTGCACTCGTTTCTCTCACCTTTGGGGAGCAGACGTGGGTATCTACCGTCCAGGCAGGGATGGAAGGAGGGGAGATTACAGAGAGCTGGGCATAGCACAGGGGAGGCGCCCCAGCAGCACCAGTCACTCCAGTGACTGCAAGAGCAGAGCCAGAGTCCTTCTCCCACCAAGCCACTGTGCTCCCCAAGTTCCATCACCCAGCACCCAGGGACCCTGCTGGCAGAGGAGAGCCCAGAGGGGAGGCAAGGCTCCCACACCTGCTCCCTCTCCCGGTCACTGGCAGTGGTCAGAGGGATGACCCTGACCTTGCCCTAGGGTAGCGGGAAGTGCTCAGTGAGGGACTGCGGAAGCCAGTGCTGAGGGACCTGCCTGGGAATGGCCTGAGCTGGGGCACCCGGCAGGCCCTCCTCCCTCCGCGGGCTCTTGTCCCAGGCCCCACTCCCTCGGACAGCGCCACAGCAGCCCTGCCTCTGCACCCAGGCCAGCGTCCCGGCGGTGGGGCCTGGCTCCTGCTCACCATGCCTTGTCTCGCCATCCACTCACTGAAGTTCTTCTCAGCGCCGCCTCCCTCCTGGGGGACAGAGCCAGGCTGTCCAAGCTGGATGGGCAGGGCTGGACCCCTGTGGGCCAGCAGCCTTCTCCAGGGCCTGAGTGAATGGGGATGGAGCAGCAGGTGCCACCAAGGGGGTCTCACTGTGGGATGAGTCACATAGCTCTGGGATGCCAGGACCTTGCCTGGATTGGGGCGAGGCTAACAGCAACTTACACAAAAACTGGCTGGGGACTCCCTGAGGCTTTGATCCCACCCCTTCCATATGTGACAAACAACTGGGCATCCTACGTCCCAGGATGGATGAGAAACCCAGGACTGGAGGGAGAGAGGGGAGAGGCCAGCCATCTGTCTGTTCACACAGTACTAAGAAAACAGATCCTGGGCTGGTGAAAGTTGCTTAACCCTCACAAGCTCTCTGGGAGGCGTGAGTGACCCTCTTTCCGGGGTTCTGGGCACGTGTGTGCACCTGTGTGCACAGGTGCATCCGCACACTTCCTTCCTGTGCGCTGGCTGTGGTGCTGTGGGAGCCAGGAGACCTGGCCGTGCTCTCTGTGCTGATGGCAGGCTCCCCAGCTTCTAGGGGCTGGATCCTGGGGGCTGGAAGCTTGGCTCTGGGGAAAGGCGAGGAGTGAGGACTGGAGTGCTCCCCTCCACTGGCCCTCCTCCGTCCCTCAGGACTCTGCTGTTCGTATCGTCAGCATCAGTGCTGGCTTCAGCCAGGCGAATGCAGGAGTGGGGTTGGGGCAGAGCACGCTGGGACACCTCCTCACATGTAGTGGCCTGGACAGCCTGTAGCACCCCAGCATCTGCCCTGCACACTTACAGCAGAGGGCAGGTCCAAGTCCTCCCATGTGCCACACTGTTTAGTGATGCCCTCCTGGTCACTGCAGCTCTTGGGCCTCACCTCTCATTGCCCAGCCCTACTCTGGCCTCGGGCAGTCCCTGGTGCCACAACCTCCTGCTCCTCGCCCATTTCTTGTCCTTCCCTCCCCCGGTCCTGGGATTGGCTGTCTCCGGTCGCCTCCTCTCAGTTCCCACGCTGCCCAGAGACACCCAGACATCACTCAAGGCACCCACTTTGTGCCTGGAGTTACTGCCAAGCTGGGAGAGGGTACTTGGTGCTGGGCCAAGCAATACCCTCAGATGGCTCCTGGCTGTCTTGGGTCCCTACTGTGCACACCTCTGAGACAAAGGGCTCCTGGGGAGGCCAAGCAGTGTGGTGCTGAGTGAGCTGGGACTCTGAGCTGGGCAACTTACATACACCGACGTGTAGGTCCCGGCACTGTGCCACACGCCCTGATGTATCGGTGAAGACAGAGGGTCAGACATCAAGGGTTTGCTCGAGAACACACAGCTTTGGGCCTGAATCCTTGCTGTGTGTTCTTGGGCAAATGTTTCAATTTCTCTGTGCCCTTTGCTGGAAGCTAGGAACAACCCACTGGCCACCAAGGGCCACTCTGAAGTCAACAGAGGAAGAGGCCATGGGAGCACAGAGCCTGTGGGTGGTGCACGGTGGTGGGGGGCAGCCCTCTGCTTACCGCTCCTGTGCTTTGCTGCCGGGCATCCAGCGCTCCAGCCAGGCCATCCGTTGCTTGGGGGGCTTCGTACTTGACCCTGAAACACAGAGGCAGCCATGGTCATCAGACACTGCAGTGCTTGCGACAGGCCTGCTGGGCAGGGCTAGGACAAGACTGACTGGCCCTGGAGGGGCTCGGTCCTCTGGGAGGGTCAGAGTGGGGCTTTCTGTACCCTGGGCCTGGAAGGAAGGAAGGCTCTCTGATGGCTGATTCGGGAATTAGGCTCAGCCATGTGACTGCGTGACAGGCAGCAGCAAAGGCTGGCGAGTTAGGTAGTGTCTGGCCCAGGACCCAAGGTCATTAGTGGCCGTGATCTGATCTGTCGTGAAGCAGCTCACGACTCAGAGCTCCGGGGGACATTCTTCACCTACACCTCCTGGAGCAGTCCCCGTTTCCTAACTTCACAAACCGCGCTTGACGGCAGAGTGCATCCTGCCGCCTGCCACTGCAGAGTGGCGTGTGAACTGCTGGGTGGGGCCTCTCGCCTGGGCTCAATGGTGTGACTGCCAGTCTCCCCGGCTGTCCTCGCTCTGGTGTAAGGCACCTTGGTAGTGATGGTTCTCCTGAGTGTCCCCGGGGGATGTGCAGTCGGCCCAGCGTGGGGAGGGGGATGGGGCAGGTGAGATGCAGGGAGGGAGATGATGCGTAGGGCTGCTGGGCGAGGCGCGGCAGGTGCAGGCAGACAGGTAAGCGGAGGAGGTGGGGGCTATGTTTGAGGTTCAGTGTGTGGGCAGCAAGACAATGAAGAGCACCTGGGCAACAAACAGGGGACCTGCTGAGCGGAACGGCCCTGTCCAGCCGCAGGGGAAGGGCCTGTCTCTGCTCCCAACAGCTGGCACAGCAATGCCAGATCTCAGCACCAGGTCAGTCCAGCCGAGGGGAGGGGGTGGCAGGAGGAGGCGGTGGGGGAGGCGGGAAGCCACAAGATCCCAGCCCTAAGAGGAAGCCCTTGGTTGAACCTCAGGACCTGGGAGAAGCTCACACTTAACCCTTGCAAGGCCATCCCCCAGTTCCCAGGAGGCCACCTGCTCCCTCCACCAGGAGAGTCAGTGGGCAGGTGACCTTCTGCCACTCCTTGCCTGAGGTTCCTGTCCACAGCTCTAGGCTGGAGCCCCTGGAAGCCTGGCATGTAGAGAAAACTACAGGGAAGGCTGTGCTCACTTGGCATGTGGGAGGAGCCAGGCACGTGTGCAAAGGCAGGGTGAGGCATGTGCAGCCCCGGGATGCACACACTCCGATCCCTGGCCTGTTCTTCCCAATCGCTCCATAACCTGTGTTACCCTTCCTTCCCAGCCCCAAAGCTCGCCTTGCCTGTCCCAGGAGGTGGTGGTTGGGGCACAGATGCAGCAGTGTGGGGTCCGGTTGGCTCTCCTGGAGGTGTGTGCTCCTTGGGAAGAGCTGGGAAGATGCTGGGGGCTGTGGGCGATGCCTGTCTAAGGCCTTTGGGGAGAAGGAGTTGCTGGGCACAGAGGAAGGGGTGTGCGTTCCCCAGGACCAGGTGCAAGAAGGTAAGGAAGACTGTCCAACGGAGGGGTCCCCCACATGGATCATCTGGTTGCCTTTCCACCCCCCACCCCGCCCTCACTGACAGCCTAATGGCTGGGCCTGGGCAGCAGCAGAGTTCATGATGGTGACGGCTATGGTTGGAGCTGGAGCAAGAACAGGGGCCAAGTGAGAGGAGCTGGCTTACCTGTAAGCCACAGCACCGCTGGCTGCAGGTCAGAGACGCTAGGCGCCAGGCCGACAAAGGGAAGTGGGGGGCCGGAAGGGGATAGGATCCCAGGCAGACAGGAGGGGCCAGTCAGTGACTGGGCCTGGGAGGTCTGCCAGGCGCATGAGGGTGGCGCAGCGTGGCAGGAAGGGGAATGTGACACTAAGGCAGACCAGCGCTCGTTTCTCCCACCTGCTATTGACGCCCAGCCCTGCCTTGTCCAGCCCTGAGCACCCTCTGCAGATACGTGCCCCTTCCTGTGTGTGGGCAGTGCCCAGAGGCCTCTCCACTCAGCACCTAGTCTGCAGCCACACTCCCTGGAAGACTGCAGCTGGTCTCCTTCCCTGAGGCCTGCTCCCCGAGGAGCCATGATGTGACAACAAAGGGCTCCCCAGCGTGGCTGGTGGCGCTGCCCGCTGGGGCCCGCGCAGAGGCTACGCTCCTGCAGCCAAGTCCCAACAGCCTCATTAGCTTCCAGCTGCCACAGTGTCTCTAATGCTGAGGTGTCCCGAGGTGCTGCTGTTCCCAGGGCACTTGGGCTTGGAGAGCCCTGCCCACGATAAAGGTCCAGGCTGCCCATGGTTTGTGGCAGGGCCAAGAGACACCCTCACGGAGCCAGGCTGACTGCAAACCTGCCAGCTAGTTTGGACTTGGATTTGTGGGTGCATGGAAGCACTCCCTGGGCTCGGCCAGGAGGATCTCCTAATCCAGATCTTTCTTGGAATGTAAGAATCTTGGCTGTTCACAGCTCAGCACTGGGAACTGTTAGCAAAGGGCTGAAAAAAAAAACAAAACACAACACAACAACAAAACCGCAGCCCAGGGCAAGGGTTGTGGTGCAGTGGACTTTGCTGTTGTTTGGGATCTGATGTGGGTGTCGATTTGCGTCCCAGCTGCTCCACTTCCAGTCCATTTCCCTGCTAATGCATCTGGGCCCAAGCACTTGCTTCCTGCCACCCATGGGAGAGGCCAGGGTGGCCTTCCAGGATCTTGACTTCAGCCTTGCCCAGAGCTGGCTCTGTTGAGGCTATTTGGGGAGTGAATCGGTGAATGGAAGATTCTCTCTCTCTCTCCTTCTCTCTGTCATTGTCTTTCTAATTAATCAATCTTTAAATAAATAAATGTAAAAAAATCACCAAGTAGATAATTTCTGCAGAAAGTTCAAATGGAGCCATCTGGACAGACCAAAGCCAAAGGCTGGTCTCTGGTGGACACCCTTGGCCAAGGCCTTGGCTTCTGGCACCTCTGTGAAAGTGGACAGTCCACAGGGAAGGGCAGAGCCTGGCTGGCTTGTAGAGCGTGCATTCCTGAGTGCAGACTTCTAGGGAAGTCGAGGATGGGCATGGGACACCCAGCTGCCTTGTCCCAGAGGTCCCCGAGGGTCAAGTAGGCTTTTACGTGGTGAACAGTGCCGAGCATGGTGGGCTGAGCTGGAGCTACTGTTCTAGAATCTGACAGTCCTGGGCTCTCCACTCTGGCTCCCCACCTGGGGAAGGCTGTCCCCCGACCGCCTGCAGGGGACAGGACAGGGACCCGCCATCACTCACTCTTTCCGTTGGTCGGCCAGTGAGCTGCCCCGGGTCAATGCAAACATGTCAAACTCGTCCTCCAGTCGGCCTGAGGTCTCCAGAGACTGCAGGCCAGCCCGTACGCTGCCGGAGCCCAGGGCTGTGGGATATAGAGACCGTGTGAAGGATCTGCCCGCTGCCTGTGTGTCTGCCTGCCAAGCCCAGGTCTGTGGGTGCTGGAGAGGCAGATGGGCACAGGTGGCAGGTCAGCGAGGGGAGTGGAGGGATCAGGCCACCTGCTGGCCACGGCACCTGGGGCCACTCTGCCTCTTGCATTCCATTGTGCATTCTAAGATGGAGACACAGTCACGTCCTCCACGGACAGGACAGCACTGCCCTGTTGCTAGAAGGGGTGACTTCTCAAAAAGCAGAGTACTGCTGTAGCAGCCCATTCAGGATGGGCTCGGCACGAGGTGGGCAGCAGGGACTGAGGCCAACCTCAGTGCCAAGGGTGAGTGTCAGCTGCACCTGTCCAGAGGGCATGCGACAGATGTTCTGCTGCAAGGCACCCATGGGGTGGCAGGGTATACACATTTCTGTTACCTCCCATGGGCGGGCGGCCATCACACCATACTCACTCATTCCCGCTAGTTGAGATGAGAGGTTGCTGGTGGCAGCAGGTTCGGGGCCCATATCGATCAGGTCACCGGCTGGCTCGGCCTCGCTGGGGGCCTGAGAGAATGGAGGCACCCTGTGATCCCCACTCCCTGCTGCCTATTTTCTTCCCCAAGTTTATGTCACCAGGGCCAGCAGCTATGGTCGGGAGCCTTCTAGAAGCTTTCCCTCCTCCCCTTTGCCTCCAGCTCAACTGGTCAGATCCCAGGAGGCATGAGCTGGGGTGCTGTCATGTTGGCCTTCGAGGGCCAGTGGCACAGTCGGTGAGAAGGGTCCCTCTAGGAGGCTGCCTAAAGCCCTTCCCTGGCAGGACACTGGGCAAGGGGGCGGGGAGCGCCTCCTGCTCATGTTAACCTGGCATCACCCTGTCATGGCAAAGGGCCTGTACCTGGGTGGCCTGGCCTGTTCGGAACCGTTCGAACCTGCAAGAAAGAAAGGAAAGACCCGAGTCAGGAAGACAGCCCCAAACTGAGTGTCAAAGTCAGCGTGGTGGGTCATAATCAGGGTGATGCGACATCTGGGATCCAGCCAGCACCTGGACTTCCCAGGACTTAAGCACAGCAGCCCTCTTACACAAGCAAAGTGTTCCAATTCAGATTATTCTACAAAAAACAAAAAAAAGCCAGATTATTCTACGGCCCCAGTCCCAGCTAGTCCAGGCAAATGGGAATAAAGTGGACTAGAAGACAGAAGGACTTGACATAGAGCAAGTCCCTGGGACAAACTCAAAACTGTTATTGATTTGTAGGTCTGTGTGTGTGTCCCTTGGTGCTACAGCAAAGACCATGTTTTGTGGAGCCCCTTGAGGGCCACAGGGCTGGGAAGCTGGGCTGAGGAGGCCCAGATCGAGGTGTGGCTGTTCTTGGACACATCCCCTCGTTTGGGACCTTCTGTCCCATCAGCAGCTGTGATGAGGAGCAAGTGAAGCCGGCCGTTGGAAAGCATCGGCAAGGGTAGTGGGCTAGCTGTAGGTGGTGGCGGCAGGGGGATGCTGCGTGTGTGTGCTCCTACACAATGCCCATACCCCGGCAAGGCAAGGGCTCACAGTGATTCGGAGGCACTTGGGCACCTGCTGGTGGCTGGGGAAGGTGCCAGAGCCGACATGAAGCAATGGTCCCACACACCTGTTCACCCCCAGCCTCAGCTCGCTGAGCGCTCGGCAGGCTGTGTAACCCGGACTCTCAAGCGCCCCCTGAGCCTCAGGTCCTGGACGAAGGAACAGGTGCGCTGTTCTGGAGACCCAGCAGCTGAGCACTCCTGGGGAGGGCAGATCTGCCCTGGTTTAGGGGGTCCTGCTGGGAGTGTCACTGAGGGGCCACCTTCCTGTCCCCAACAGGTGAGCACAACACAGCTCAGCCACTTGTGGGTCTTGGGGACCCGACACTGGGACAGGGAGACACCCAGTGGACATGTGCTTGGAAGTGACCCTCTTACTGCTGGTGGTCCCTGGGGATGTGGAATAGGCGTGTCTGCTCCCGCAGGTCACCTCTGAATGACCTGGGGCCTGTCCTGCTTGTGATGCGAGTGTCGCTGCTCCAGCCCTTTCAGAGGGGATTCTGAAAGCTAACCATGTAATCAACACTCTCCTAACTGTCCTAGTTCCTTTTCTGCTGAAAGGGCTGGAAATGCTCAGTGTGGCCGGCAGTCACGAGGCCCTGGCTCAGACAGGACACACGTCCAGGGTCCTAGACAGATGTGCATCGGGCCAGCATGCTACAGGGCCCCTGCCAATGGCTACCACCTGCTACAGTTTCCCAGGCTGGATTCTGGAAAGGAGACCCAGGCTGGGCAGGAAGATGGAAGGCGCCGGCTGGGGTGACATGCTGTTGCAAGTGCACATGGTGTTGGGAGGCCAGCAAAGGAAGGAGGAAAGGCCGCGAGCTACCGTTCATGGCGCAGGAACACGTTGTTGAGGTTGTCGTTGACAATGAGCAGCTCCTCGGTCAGCTGCTCGTTGGAGATCCGAGGGATGAGCTCCAGGACCCGCTGCTGCATGGCTCGGCATGTGCGGTTGAGCTCCTGTGGGGGAAGGAAGTGAGAGGACCACGGCTGCGTGACCTGAGGAAGGCCACTTCCGGTGGACCAGGGTCCAGGCTGCGTGACATGTCTTGGCAGAAGGAGAGTTTCCCAAACCTACTTCAAGGTTCCTGTGAATTTGAAGTTCCTGTCAAGGGTTTTACATTTAAATCAGATTTATGTTAAACAACACTGCTGGTTTAAGTGGGCTGTGGCTGTGGGGTCTTCATATTCGGCTGGCTCTGGTGTTCTCGGGCACTGTGAATCCAAAGCATCAAACATCACCGACTGGGGCCAGCACCTCATGGTGTGGAAGGCAGCTGGACGGGAAGCTGGGCTGCCGGGATTAGAACCAGTGCCCATATGGGATCCCGGCGCATGCAAGGTTAAGGACTTTAGCCACTAGGCTACCATGCTGGGCCTGAAAGGCAGATTTTTAGAGAGAGAGAGAAGGAGACAGACAGGTCTTCCATCCACCTGTTCACTTCTCAAATGGTTGCAATAGTTGGAGTCGACCCAAAGTTAAGGAGCCAAGAGCCAGGAGCTCCTTCCAGGTCTTCCGTGTGAGTGCAGGCAGGGGCCCAAGGACTTGGGCCATGCTCCACTGCTCTCCCAGGCCATAAACAGAGAGCTGGACTGAAGCAACTGGGACATAAACTGGTGCTCATGCGGGATGCTGCTGCCAGAGGGTTAGCTTGCTATGCCACTGCACCTACCCTGCGTTTTGAACAAATCCTAAAAAAAAAAAAAAAAAAATCAAAAATAGCCCACAAATTAAAAAAAAAAAAAAAAAAACTCCAATTTTCAGATCTGCCTTGTTACTGTTTTCTTTTTAAATAAAACGTTTATTATGGGATCATTTTAGACTCACGGGACTGCTGTGGAGGCAGACTTCCCTAATGTACACTCTCCACCCAGGCTGACGTTTGTCAAAACCAAGAGAGAGGGTGGGCATATCCCCTGGTGGGTAGGTCACCTGTGTCCTGGGTCGGAGCGTCTGCCAGTGTGGACCCTGGCAGGAGGCTGAGCTTCCTGTCCCCCCCGCGTGGGAGACGTGGTCCCCGGCTCCTGGGCCTTGCGGGCAGCTGGGAAGTGTACCAGCAGATGGGGCCCTTTCTGTCTCTCTCAAAGAAATAAAAAAATATAATAATAAAAAAAAGTCAATGAAATCACCTAAGCTGGCACACTGGCACGACTCCGCTAACCAGGCTGGACTGTGTGCGTGCCCCCGGTTCTCCTTGCTTTTCTATTTCCGTCTCAGGGCTGCACATGCACGTCACCATGCCACCGACGCTATTTCATAAAAGAGGGACATTTCAACGACAGCTCGATGGCTTTATTTTCTAGACGAGCTGTGTTCTTCCTCGGGCACCTGTCACCAGGAAGACAGGAACCCCGGGTCCTGCCAGCCTCCGGGCACTGCTGACCGTGGGCTAGCACCCTTCCTCCTGAAGGCATAGCCAGGGCCAGGCGCTGCCCCCTGCTTGCTGGGCTCTCTCGCGGCTCTGTTCCCCCGTCAGTCAGGCCTGCTGGGATACCCTCCTCTACCTCGGCCCTGAGGCAGGGCGGGGTGAGGGAATTTCAAAACGCGAAGCCTCCCCTTCCTTCCTCCCTGACCTCACACACTTGTGGCTATGTCAACTTCCCTGCCGGCCCCTTTCAAGTGCAGAATGGCACTTGGAGCCAGGGCTCTGCTGCTCCCCAGCCCTGACGTTTCCCTTTGCCTCAGTTTCCTAAACTGGTGGGGACTCTGGGTGTGAACACGCATCCAGGGTCCCACACAGGGCCGACGTGTGGGGAGCGCCCCATGCGTGGGAGTTGTTGCCAACCTTACCTCCTCAGGGCCCGAAATGGCTCATCTCCGGTGGCCTTGGCCGGGGCCGTGGGGAAGTCACGGCACTGCCGCCACTGCCCCATCCCCTCCCTAAGCCTAACCCTTCCTCCCTGAGCAAGCCACCACCCTCACCCAGCCTCCACTCACAGCCTCACTCTACCCACAGACCCCCGCAAGCCCTCCAGCCTCCCATGCTCAGCACATGGAGAGACCAGCCCTGCATGGAAGGAGCTGGAGACGCAGCAAGCACGCTAAGTTCTGTCGCCCCTCGTGGATGCTGGGGGTCCTGGGCCTCAGAGGTGCCTGGATTAATCAGGGCCTTGAGAGACTGATTCCCCTAAGGGTCAGTCCCTGCTCTAGTGACTATATTCCTCCCTTGCCCCCACAGACCCACACACCGGGGAGGGGGCCCCAGAGTCATCGGGTGACACACAGGAGCAAGAACCAACAGGCTGGCTCTGTGGCCTGAGGCTGGCCGCTTGCCCAGCTCACAGTCAGCCCTGCTCTCACCTGCCGTTCTGCCTTCTGCAAGCAGAGCTCTCCCTGCACCAGGCACACGGCTGGGCGTCGGCAGGAAATGCCTTATTGCACTCTCATGTCACACTTGCACCATGAGGACTAGCAAAGGAAACTGAGGCAAGATCTGAACTCCCATTTGATGGGGGTCCCAGGCCCCCGGTCTTCCATTATAACCAAGGGTCTCAGAATCGACCGTGAAAATTGCAGTGGGGCTGGCAGCTGGCAGCCAGGCCCTAGGGGTGTGTGTGTGTGTGTGTGGCATGCGCGTGTATGTGTGTGGTATGTGTGGTATGTGTGTGTGGTGTGTATGTGTGTGTGTGTTGTGTGTGTGTATGTGTGGTGTGTGTGTGTGTGGTGTGTATGTGGTGTGTATGTGTGTGTGTGGTGTGTGTGTATGTGTGTGTGTTGCACATGTATGTGTGTGGTATGTGTGGTGTGTGTGTATGTGTGTGTGTGTGGTGTGTATGTGTGTGTGTGGTGTGTGTGTGTGTGTGTGGTGTGTGTGTGTATGTGTGTGTGGTGTGTGTGTGTATGTGTGTGTGTGTGTGTGTGGTGTGTGTTGCGGATCAGGGAGAGGCATCCACTCACCTGCAGCAGCTCGAGGTCTGCGGGCTCCGCCTGGGTGGGTACCAGCTCCGTCAGCATCTCTGACATCACCCTCACGTTCCCACTCACCATCTCCAGCTCGCTGCGTAGCTTCCCGATCTGTAACACATGGCGGGATGTGCTGTGGGGACTGGGTCTACAGCTCCTGGCGCTCATGGGGGCAGAGGCCGGCATGTCAGCCCTGGGGGTGGCACCCTCTCTAAGGCAGCTCTGCCCTAAAAGCCCATGGTGGGCTTGGACTCCTTCCACCCAGTCTATAGGACCCCTTACAGAGGTGCCACCCACCGTTACCATCTCCAAACCAGGGAGCCTGGAGCAGGCAGAGGCCGCAAGGAAACAAGCGGAGGGAGAATGAACTGTGGACGGGTGTGGCTGGAAAGGCCCCAGCACCAGGGCCTGAAGTGGCGGCTAATGAGGCCCTGGAGGCGGCTCCTCCAAGGGGAGCAGGGAGAGCACAGGCCCCCGTCCTCCCTCCTTCTCCTCCCAGGAGGCCTAGGAATTTGTGTTGCTGGGCTGCGCTAATTCCTCAGGCTCACCCAGGGGTGATGCTTATCCCATACCCCACTTTGGGTAGGGAACTCTGACTAAACATTTGTTCCAGGGAACTAACATTAGTGGGTTTTCTTCTTCAAGACTTATTTACTTCTATTTTTTGAAAGGCAGATTTTACAGCAAGAAGGAAGGACAGAGAGAAAGATTTTCCATGTGTTGGTTCACTCCCCAAATGGCCCTAACAGCTGTAGCTGAATTGATCCAGGAGCTTCTTCTGGGTCTTCCATGGGAGTGCAGGGTCCCAAGGCTTTGGGCCTTTCTGTGCTGCTTTCCCAGGCCCTACGCAGGGAGCTGGATGGGAAGTGGAGCATCTGGGACACGAACTGGCACCCATATGGGATCCAGGCGCTTGTAAAGGGAGGATTAGCCAGTTGAGCCAGTGTGCCAGGCTCTGTTAGTGGCTTTGCAGTGGTCAGAAGGTTCCATGGCATGGGCCTGTGGATATACCAGCGAGCTAGCTGTAGTCTCCTTGCGGAAATGAAGCTGGGAGAGGCCACTGCTACTGGTCTCTCACGCTGGGGGACTCTGAGTACTGGTGCTCTTGAGAACATTGCGCATGTCCAGGAAATCATGAACAGGACTGCGTCTGGAGTTTAGTGGCCTGCAGACTCCGTGGAATCATCCACTGGTTTAGCATTCAGCACACCGGGCTGGGGTCAAGGGTCAGGTGGAGTTCAAGTTATTCACGGAAAAGTGGAATGAAATGGGAAGCTCAGTTGGTTGCAAACATTTTGAAATCCATGCGTGTTTTTTTTTTTTTTAATAACAAGCATTTCCCATAAACATTCGGAAGCATTTTCACACTTACTGGGAAGTGCTGATGTGTTCCTATTTGCACGGCCAGGGTGATTCCTGAGTGTGGGTGCCACTGTGTCTGCTCACAAGTACTGTACAGAAAGCGACAAGCAGTTAGCACCCACGTGAACTGCTAGCTTCACCTTTGTCAGGCAGGCTCAGTGTCACCTGTCAGCTTATCCCAGCAGCCCAGCCTTCAGCGACAGAGCAATGGGAGTGCAGAACCAGGTAGGACAGCCACTGTGGTTTACCAGTATCTTCTGAAACCAACAGAATAACGCCTGATACATTTGGCCTACTTCACGGATACTACTGGGTATCAACCCTACCCCTCCAACTCAGAGGGGGATCAAATTACAGAGCAGCCTGGGAGTGACATCACTGTGCGCCCCCACCTTACCACATTCCAGGGCACATCAGGGGGCTCTGAAATAAGCAAAGACTACTCCAGATTGCTTGGCGAGAACCTTCTAGCACCAGAAGTATGCAGAGTCCCCAGCTGCACAAATGTTAGACTTGAGGCAGATTGGTTAAAGTCATAATCAGATTAGAGGATTCTCTGGGTCATAAGGTGACTTTGCAGTTTTTAAATGCACCTGTCATTCTGTCTGCTTAGTAACGTTTTCTAGTAACGCTTGTAACCGTGTGTGTGTGTGTGTGTGTGTGTGAGAGAGAGAGAGAGAGAGAGAGAGAGGAAGAGAGAGAGTAACTATCACAGAAGTCTTTCTTCAAAGGCCTCAAGGTGTGAGCAAGTAGACCCCACATTCCGATCCTTGCCTCCCCCAGTAAGGTCAGCAGCAGAGCGCCGAGCCCACGCCCGAAGTGGGTATCCCACAGCACGCAGGCCTCCACTCCAGCAGCTCAGCTGAAAGGGACAAAGCACCCAGCCCACACAAGTCATGGCCCTGGCAGGTGGAGCAGCGTAAGCACCCCCGGTTCAGGAGGAAGAACCTGGGGCCAGAGAGCCCACCTGTGCCAGTGTGTGGCCTGCTCAGGGGCGAGCAATGTTACAAAGCCTTGGGAAGTCCTGTCCTCCAAGCCTCAACCTCCTTCTTGGGTCCCCATGGGCAGTGTGACAGTGCAATGGCATGTTAATCTCCTGCACAGATGTTTTCTGACTGCTTTCAGCTGGCCCTCAGGTTAACGGAGAACTTTAGTGAACACGGAGGTGGCCACACAGACACAGTGGAAGGAGCTGCCTGCTGGGCACTGGCCGGGGCCCAGATTGGACACAGCTGGTGCTGAATCTGCCAGGGCTGAGCTTGCCCTCAGCCGTACCTGGGTGCTGTGTGTCCCAGGCTGGTGAACCAATCTCTGAACTCTGCAAGATGGGCAGCAGTGACAATGAAGCCAAGCTTCTTCCCACACCGAGAAAGGCCCCCACCGAGGGGACCCTCCTTGGGCCTGCCTTGGTCCCATCTGCTCACCTGCTCAGGCGTGGGCGTTATGGGTGAGTCACCAGGGAGTTCGGCCAGGGTGTGTAGAGGGGCAGAGTACTGGTTCGAGTCTCCTCGCCCATCAGAGCCCGCAGAACTCTGTTCTGATGGTGACTCTGAGTTGAATACGGTCTAGAGGGAGAGAAGTAGGGTCAGGGAGACGTGGGGGCAAGGGTAGGGCCCAAGAAGCAGCTGCAGCCCCCTGTGGGGCAGCTCCTCACCCTCTGTGGTGTGTGGATGGGCGACAGCATGTCCAGGTCAGTCATGGGAAACTCCAGGCCCTTGCGGCGCAGGTCTTCGTAGACGGCGACAACACCTGTCAAATCGGGCGAGCTGCGGAACGCGTCAGCCCAGGACTGAGAGAGGACAAGGGGACATGGCCGGTGACCACTGCACACCTCTCCCTGCCAGCCTGCCTGCCCTGGTACCCGGCACAAAAGACTGGGCGCAGCCCACTCCACAGCAATGTCCACGGTGGACGAACCTTGTCCCATGCACATCAGCTGACACCCGGGATACCTGAAGGTGTAAACTAGAGCCAGGGGTACCCTTCACCCTTGGGAATGGGCTGCTGTGCTGGGGACCCTTCCCAGCCCCGCACACCCCACCCTGACTCTCACCTGGATGAGGTTGAGCACTTTGTCGTGCACGATGGTGGGAGGGTTGTTCTTGGGCAGGATGGTCCGCACCAACACGCCCTCCACAAAGTCCTGGCTGGCCACCAGCACATGGAAGCGGTGCCCACAGTTCTTGACACAGGTTTCCAGGACCTGGAGGGTGGCAGGGGGCCAGTGAGCACCCATTAGAGGAGTGGAGGGACCCCAGAGCCCCCAACTCCTGGCTCCTTCTCCTTGCTAACAGGAGGAGGTAGGACTTCCTTAAAGGATGCCCTACAGCATGAGGAATTGGAGACAAGGCTGGGACACGGGGGCTTCCTTCTTGGGGTGTGGCTGGGGAGGGGCCAAGTGGAGACAGGATGCTTTCTGGAATGCTCTGATGCCAGCCACCTTCTGATGTTCCTTTCCAGCAGAACACAGTCTAGACAGGGTGGCTGTCCAGGAGGAGAGCCAAGGGCCTTTGAACCACCTGGTGATGCTGTGGTCTGAGGACAAGGAGTTGGAGTCCCTCTCTCCCTGTTCCCACTTCCCGCAGGAGCCAGAGTTGCCAAGGTAGAAATGCCACTTGTTGCGGAGCTTCGACAGAATGCTCCTCTCGCCCTGCTCCAGCCAGACCCATCCTGAGACTGGGATGCCTGCTGTGCCCAGGCCGCCTGGCACCCTAGAGTGCTCCAGAGCCATGGGCAAGGCTGTTCTCAACCACTGGTGCTTATTGCACACTCACTTTCCATGGTGTTCAAGTGCCAAGCCGTACCCAGCACGGCCTGCCTGGCTTTTTGTGCCCAGGAAGCTTGAGTGTACTGGGCTTCTATGTCACGGGAACCGTGCCTTGGCCCAGGCTCTGTCATTGGCCTCCACGTCTGTCCCCACTACGGGTGGCCTCTCCTGTCATCTGCATGTTCTAGTTTACCGGGGACAGTGCTTTGCCCAGGAGGCCCCCGAGCCTGAGGCCAGGCTCAAGACAAATGGACAGATGGACGGGACTCACCGTGAGAGCCAGCATCACCTCGTGGAAGTTTTTGTTCCCCACAATTCTCTTCTTCACTGCTCGGAAGGCATCCTTGGGGCTGGGTGGGACAGAAGGAAGAGTGGTTGAGGAGTGAGCTGCGCTGGCCCCTGCTGGCCCTCCTCCTGGGCTCTCCCCACCCCTCTAGTTGTCCTCCACTCATCTTACTAAGCTCCCCCATGTTCAGGGCAGCAGGCTGGGTGTCAGCGAGGTGATGGCGAACACTTTACGAACTGTTTCCAGGAGCCTCATGTCCTGGGGAGAGGCAGGTGCTGTGTTGGGGAGTGGGGTATGGAGGGGCCAGGGAAGACCTGGAGGAAGTGGCCCAGCAGTGGGGGACCCCACAGGAGGGGAAACAGCAGTGGGGAGCAGAGGAAGGGATGGATGGATCATAGCAGGAGCTAATGCGGGAGGCGTGGAGGCTGACATGGTGCGCCTGGCAGGAAACCGGGGCCCCTGGACGTGGATTCTGCGTTGGAGGTGGGGAGGGCTTCTGGGAACCAGCCAGGGCTGTGGTGGAAGGGACAGGGCAGGGGATCCTGTGGTCCAGGGGCAGCAGCCTGGACCAGAAGGATGAGGTAAGCTTCTAGCACAATGCACTCTGGACAACTGGCTTCTGCTTTTGCCTGGCCACTGGCCTGGGGCCATTTCAGCACTCTCTGGAGGAAAGAGCCACACTCCAGGGTTAGAGCCAGGTCTGGTCTAACCTACCACATGGGTCAGCTACGTGTCTGGCATTCTGCCAGGAGCACGCACGTGTGGCGAGGAGCCTATAGCTAAGGAGGGGAGACTCTTCAGTGAATAAAGACTGCAGCTGGGACTGCTGTTAGGTGTAGCCAGTAAAGCTGATGTTGGTAACTTTGGCATCTCATTTGGGTGCTGGTTCGAATCCTGGCTACTTCCCTTAAGATCCAGCCTTCCACTAATATATCTGGGCAAACAGCGAAGGATGGCCCCGGTGCTTGGGCGCCTACATCCACATGGATGAAGCGTCCAGCTCCTGGCTTCCACTGGCCAACTCTTGGCTGTTGTGGCCATTGGGAGAGTGAACCAGTGGATGGAAGATCTGTCTGATCTGTCTGTCTCTCTAGGGAGCTTGGTGAAGTCAAGGGGTATACCTGTCTGTGCTCACCAGGGCACACCAGGTGCTGCAATTGGAGTGACCAGTGCCCAGGTGGGCTTGCTGTCCCAAGGCCGCTGCAGTCACTTCCTGCCAGTCCTTTTCAGAGGCCAGAGAGCTTTCCTGCCTGCCATCTTGGGTCCTGCCCTCTGCTCTCAGCCCATCCTCACTCTGATGAGGTTGAGAGTGTTCCCCCAGTTCCTGGACCTCCTGCCTGCGGCGGAGGACATTTGGGGTGGGGGGGGTGAGGAACTGGACTACCCCAGTGAGAAATGGAGTGGAACTGAGGTCCTCTCTGACCAGCCCTGCCAGCCTGACCTACCACAGCAGAGGCCTCACCTGAAGGTCGCGCTTCCTGCTGGCTTGCCTGCTACATTCACCCCCATCTCTCCTGGGCTTTGATGGTCACCCACACATCCCCTTTGCAGCTCCCATAAGGGACGGGGGCTGTTGCAGGAAGGGCCTAACAGCGCTCTAGGGACTTGCCCAGTCAGTAACAAGAGGTCAGGGATCAGAAGTCCCCAGCCTCCCTCCATACTGGGCGCCTTGGTGGAGCCCCCTGGTCCTGAGCCGCAGAATCCTGGCTCATGCGCAGGAAACGCCTGGGAAAGAGGCACTGACTGGTCCCCAGAGTGCCAGAGATGCTCACTCCAATCTGCCTTCCCATCCTCTTCACCGCCTTCCTCTGGCCCCGCCTCCCAGCTGGCTCAGACCTTAGAGAAATGAAAGTTGCCTCTCGCGCAGAGAGCAGGAGGGAAGCCCTGATGTAATTTTTGCCCACAGAATGCAGGACACCTGGCACCATCGCCTAGGGACAGAGTCCGCAGCTCTGCTTGTCCAAGGGAGCTGTCACGCACAGGCTGGGGCCCCAGACCCTGGGCAACGAGGCTGCTGCTGCTTAGAGAGGCTGCAGGGTGCAGGACCACCCGTGGACAAGCTGCACACCTGCCATGACCCTAAACTTCATGTCCTAGGGCCTGTCATCCATCTGAGAAGGGGACTGGAGTGACATCGTGGTTCTAGAATGTCTGAATGCTGCATTCCTGTCAGGTGGGGCTCAGGGGAACTCGGCAATCCTTCCTGGCACAAATGGCCATGGCTTTGTGGCCAGAGCAGTGATGGGCGGGGCAGGTGCAGGGTGTGAGCCGATGCCAGTGCGTGACGTGCTGCATGGGTCTGTGCCCCACCCTGCCTTGGACGGCCTTACCCTTCCTCGGTCTCGTTAATGATGTCACAGATCTCCATGTTGAGGGCCCAGTCCTCACTCTGCAGGGAGCCATCGGTAGCTTTCTCTGAGGACGAGAAACTGCAAGTTACAAAAGGGTGTGTGGCCTGGCTGGGCCACCTGCACAGTGGGGTGGGGAGGCATGGGGTGGCCCTTGCAGGGAGACAGGAGAGAGGAGGACAGGCAGAGCCACCTGCCTTGCGAGGATGTGTCGCTCCCGTCTGCTCCCTGCAGCAGCCCTGGGAGGCCAGGAGTGACCTGGGCCTTTGACAGTCAAGAAAAGCCCGTAAACGGATCAGTGGGGACAGCACTTGGGTGGGCCCAGCTGGTGATGGGCTCCTGACTTCAGACTGCTCCTGAATTGCTGACCACTTAAGGATTCAGACTGGGCACGGCAGTGGAGAGAATGACTGCCACCTGTCCCTCCCCCACGTCCCAGTGCACCTGCTGCGTCAGTCTCCTCTACTGTTTCCCAAGGACACTCCTCCCACAGTGGCACAGGCTGCCTCTGTCCCTGTGGTTCCTGGGGATGACCTGGCCTTCCCCACCCCCTCTGAGTGACAGTCTCTGTCCACGGGTTGGGCTGAGAAGCACCCACAGAGCTGCGGTGACTGACGCCCACGAGGCAGCAGCTCCGTGACTGGGGGTTCACACAACACAGGTGCTGGTCATGACTTCTTTGTGGATGGATGCACAAGTCACGGGAGACACTCCAACTACCCTTGAGCACCCAGTGTCCACGTTGGGGGCATGTGGCACGCACTCAGTCCTCCATCACCACCTTTAACATAGGTAGCAGCATTTTGCTGCCATGGGCCATGTGGACATTGAAAACACAGCTCAGGCCACACAATGTGATCCACTGAAAAGTCAGCCTGCTGCCCACATGCTGGGTTTCTAGTCCTGCCTGCATTCATCTTGGCTATCTACAGAGCAGGCCTGTTTCAGGTGCTGGACGCAACGGTGGACAAGACCCTCCCTGCACTAGCGTGTCCCCAGAGAGGATAAAGTAGGGCCTCAACCCCGGTCTGCTGGAGGACAGGCAAGTACCGCCTCTATAAGCCTGGACACGTGGACCTCATCTGAGGGGGGAATGATCGGGCTGGGCTGGGCCAGCACAGCCAGCTCTAAAATCATGGCTTCTGAGGGACTGCCTGTGTACCTGGCTGACCTCAGGCCCTGGAAGTCACCTGGAAACACACTGAGGGCATGGGCAGAAGGACTGGCTGTTCTCCTTTGACTTAGGGCCTAGGGGAGGAAATGAAGAAAGGCTCTCCTTAGAAGGGCTTAGAGACAGGGGATCAGGTTGTGGTGCTTCAGATTAAACCACTGAGCGCAACACTGGCATCCTATCCAAGTGTTTGCTGAGTCATGGCTACTGCGCTTCTGATCCAGCTCCCTGCTGATGTGCCTGGGGAAGCAGCGGAAATGCCCCAAGTGTTTGGGCTCCTGCCATCCATCTGGGAGACCCAGATGGAGTTCCTGGTGTCTGGCTTCTGCCTGGCTCAGCCCCAGCGTTTGGGGACATTTGGGGAATAAGTCAGCAGACGGGTGGTCTGTCTATCTTCCTGTCTGGCCCTGTAACTCTGTTGTTCAAATAAATACATGAACAAATAAATCATTAAAAAAAGGGAAAGGTTCAAAGACAGACTTTCCTTCCCCTCTACTGACATCTACTGAGAGGAACTTCTCTGGGTCTGGAGGAGTCACAGGCAGACAGTGACCTGGACAGACCGGGGTGGACCAGGGCCAGCTGGGCGAGTGGCTCTCTGAGCAGAGGGTGGGGGCAGGGGCCGCCCAAACATGCAGAACCTGCTCCTCCTGCAGAGGCTGTAGCTCAGCCAACCCTGCTGCCCCTGACTCAGCCACGGCTAAGGCCAACACGTGAGTTACTGTCTTTTTATGACTTATTTATTTGAAAGGCAGAAACACACACACACAGATCCGCCATCTGTGGTTTGTTTACCAAATGAACACAAAAGCAGGGGCTGGGCTAGGCTAGCCAGGAGATTCTTCCGGGTCTCCCACATGAGTGCAGGTGTCCAAACCCTTGGGCCATCTTTTTCCGTTTTCCCAGGAGCATCAGCAGGGATCTGGATTAGAAGAGGGGCAGCCAGGACTTGAACTGGTGCTCCCAGGTGGGAGGCTGGTATCGTAAACCGTGGCTAAACCCACTGTGTGACTATGTTGGTTCTCTTGAGAGCCTTTCTTTCTCTTTCTGTTTTGTCTCGCTTCCTTCTTTCTCTTCCTCCCTTCCCTTCCTTTCCCTGTCCTTTTCTTTCCTTTTTTACAGATTTATTTATTTGATCGCAGAGTTGCAGAGATCTTTCATCTGCTGATTCACTCTTCAAATGGTTGCAACAGCCAGGGCTGGGCCAGGAGCCAGGAGCAGGGGCCCAAACACTTGGGTCATACCACTCCTTTTCCAGGCCATTAGCAGGGAGCAGCACAGGAAGTGGAACAGCTGGGACATGAGCCATGAGGCTTGCTGACATAACAAGTGGTGGCTCCTCCAACTACACCACAATGTTGGACCATGGTAGCCATTTTCTTAAAGATTTATTATATTTTTGAAAGGCAGAGCTACCGAGAGAAGTGGGAGAGAGAGAGAGAGAGAGAGAGAGAGAGAGAGAGAGAGAGAGAGAGAGAGAGAGAGAGAGAGCTTCCATTTGATGGTTCACTCCCCAGATGGCTTCAATGGCTGAGGCTAAGCCTTGCCCATGCTCTATGCCGGCCCACAGGGGACATTCTGAAACTCAAAAGGGACCAGGTCCCTTCCATGCCTGGAATCTTTCTGAGACTCCCTGGTCCTCAGCCTGGCCAAGGTGACCCTCCACAGTGACACTGCTGAATCCCCCAAGTAGCACCGGCTGTTATGTAAGGATGACAGCTACTCCTCACACAGCAATCCCTCATCTGACCAACGAGGAAACGGAGGCAGGGAGTGGCCTGTGGCTTGAGAGGGCCACAGGGTGGCGAGGGTGGGGGGGGAGCTGGTGCCCGCTCATGCCAGGCATGCTGCCCTGCCTCACCTCGGTGGTCCCAGAGGGGAACCCCTGTGGGTTTCCTGATGCTTCAGCATGCCCTGAATATGAGGGGCTACCTCTCTTCCCTGGGAGAGACTGTGGTGAGTTAGAAAGGGCCTGTGTCACTGTGGTGAGGCAGATGGCTGGGACACTTATGGAGGAGAGATGCCCAACAGTAGGGGCCAGAGTGTATTAGAGCCCTGGGTATACCTGACCTTGACCGCAGAGGCCTGGGCCTGGGCTCCAGCAGAGCACATGGGTTCTTGGAGGATGGAGATGTCGGGGAGCAGAAGAGGATGTCAGGCTACCCTGGGAGGGGCAGAGAAGAGCAGGGAGACACACAAGTTGGATAAGACCCATCTGAGAGGCTGGCACTGTGGCATAGTGTGTTAATCTTCCACCTGTGACACTGGCATCCAAAATGGGTGGGGTTCAAGACCTAGCTGCTGGACTGACTTCTGATCCAGCTCCTGCTCGTGGCCTGAGAAAACAGCAGAGGTTGGTCCAAAGCTTTGGAACCCTGCACCTGCATGGGAGACCTCCAGAGGGCTCCTGGCTCTTGGCTTCAGACCATTCCAGTTCTGGCTGTTGTGGCCATGTGGAACCAGAAGATAGAAGATTTCTGTCTCTCCTTTTCTCTGTAAATCTGCTTTTCAAATAAAAATAATTTCTTTTAAAGACCCATTTGAGCACTGCAATAGTAGGTGGTTGTGTCAAGGCCTTGAATCGCCACTGCCAATGTCTTGCCTCTGTGAGCCCCGGGTCGCAATGTGTACCCGGACATGATTGAGTAACGAGCCCACAGCCAGGAAGAACAAAGCCTTTGGGCAAGCACTATGCTGTGGCAGGTTAGGCTACTAACTATAACCCCAGCAACCTATATGTGCCCCTGCGAGTCTTGGCTGCTCCACTTCCAATTCAGATCTCTGCTAACGCACCTGGAAAAGTAGCAGAAAATGGTGCAAATGCTAGGGCCCCTGCAACCCTGTGGGAGATGGAGATGTAGTGCTTTGGCCTGGCCCGGGCCTGGTTCTGCAGCTACCTGAGCCGTGAACTATGAACACAAGATCACTCTGCTTTTCCAATAAGCAGAAAACCCTTCTGAAAAACGGAAAAGCTCAGGTTCTGGACCCTTGGACAGCGGGAAGTCATGGGCAATTCTTAGACAGGAGGCAGTAGTGCTTAGTGTTTGAGGAGGCCACTGTCCAGGCTGGGACAGGTGACAGGACCCAAATCAGAGCTCTCCCGGTGGCAACGAGACCTAATGACATGGGGGGTCCTGGGGAGGGCTGGAGAAGGCCAGCATGGCAGAGGTGGTCAGGATGGCTTGCATTTGTGGAACTGCCCAGTGCTCCCCTGAGCACCCACAGAAACGACCGCCTGCAGAGCTGAGTGGGAGCAGGGCTGCCCTTGCCGGGCCATGAGGGCAGCTGTCTGGCCAGCTCCGGAGCACGGTGAGGTAATCAGCCATTCCTCCTCTAGGCCCCACGGTCGTGGACCCTTGCTGTCACTCGGGGAACCCTCCCCAATGTCATGCAGAGGAATGCTGGCAGTGTGAAGACTGGCTTCCTGATCACAGATTTGCACACATACTGGGATCTTAATTTTTGCATAGGTCTCTCGGCGAGGGAGTGACCAGCCAGACCAGCTGATGCCCAGGCCCACCCTGTTTCTCCATGCGAGCGGGTGAGGCCAGCTCCAAGATCCACATGGAAAAGACAGGCTGGTGCTGCACAGGCACACGGCTGCACAGTGACTCTAACCCTGGGGACAGGTGGCCCTGGACAGCAGTGGAGCCCCCGGGACAAGCAGCCATTGGTGGGCTTGGCTCCCACTGGGGGCAGAGCAGATGGTTGTCCTTGCGGGCCACCATCAGTGGTTCCAAGGTTGGGGATTAGCCAGTTCCCATCTTCTCGGTAGCTGGAAACCCCTGCAGTGTTTTTGGCTCCATCCTTGAAACAGCTGAGTGGCTTCCGCCATCACAGGTGGATCTCCTAGGGGTAGAGATTAAACCCCAAGAGGTCAAACTCTCAAATCTACA